TTTGCTCTGTGATTGGCGGTTACATTCTGAAATGAGAACAAGTGGTTTGCGACTCCCCGTTTCTTACTTCTGTGGTTGAATAAGATGCGCTTCACAGTAGCAAAATGATTGTGTGGTTGGTATTAAATTATTAAGATCAGGGATCATACGGATGCACAGGAAGTGGTTGCAAACACTCTGGAACACTGATTAGATAGACAAGTCAATGGGCAGCAACTGGTATACCATTGACCCCATTATACCATGGGGAAATGCAGCACAAAGATCGTGAATGGGATTTGCAGAAGCACCTAATCATTCAGAGGGAATTGAAGGCCCATGGACTCGCAATCAGACCCAGACCCCCTTTGTCACAAGCTGGGCTTTGCAAAAGCACAAGGTCACACAAGGAATCTCTAGCAGAGGCTAGAACTGAAACCATGTCTTTTGAATTATGTACAGCCCCTCTTCCTTCCCAGCATTTTGTTATTATTTATTGCTGTAGTAGCATCAGAGGCTCCAAGATGCTGCAGATCCATGTGACGCTGTACTTAATTACTGAATATAATTAAGCATCAACTGCTTTCATGGCATGAATGACCTTTTCCCCTTTAAGTATTAACGTTTGCACCTTTACTAAGCCATTCACAGTAATCTAGAAACTAATTCCCACTCAGCACCCTGGGAGGCAGACATGTAATGTTAACCTCTTTGTACTTAAATTAAGCTTAAAACTGGGACAAGTGACAAGGTCACTAGATACCAAGGTTGAAATTCCACCTGTAAGCTGGCTGCGAGTTAGCAGACCATATGTGAATTGCTTAAGATTTTGCCCCTGAAAAGCAAAAAAAAAAAAAAAAACCACGATACCCAGATGTCACAGTTCACTCCTGAAAACGTAAGAATAGTGAGACAGCATCTGCAGGGTGAAAAGGCCCTCTTTGCTCTGAGGCCTAGGAAAGTACAAAGGACCTCTCTCCTGGATCAGAAGGCAATCATTCTGCAGCAGGACAGGCAGAAAGATGGCAGTCATCAATACCTTCACCCTCCCAACCTACTGACAACAAATGTTGCAAGCACTAATTCCCTAGCACCACACACTGTTTGCCTCCTGAGATATTTTTGTTTTTCAGTTTTCTTCGAGTCTGTCATTAGGTATCAATCACACTTTGGTTAGAAGAGCTGGGTGCCATGCAAGTGGTTTTCAAATCAAATCTGTAACCAGCCTGGTAATGGAGTGATACACACTCTCAGCTTGACGTGTGTCCTCTTGCGTAACCATTTCTCCCGTGGATTGGACGGACTTAATGTTGCTGGGTCCGAGCTGTCATTTTCCTTGACATTCACATTTTCATACCTCATCACCTGAAATGAGATTTATGTTAGAACCTGGGGCTGTAACAAATTGCATTGTTGTGTTTGCTGCAGAAGGGGAGGGGGCGTACAGTGCAGCTTCCGCTCACTCACACCGTCTGTAGATAATAGGGTATAAATCTGAGAGAGATGCGGGTCAGGTGTTCAATAATATTAGCATGCCTAGACAGTATACTCATGTGTATTGTCAGGGAAGCAGAGGGATTTTATGCATCTAGGTAATAACACCGGCACTATTGCTTTCTATTCCCAATGAAGCAAATCTAGTCCTGTTTTTAGACTCAAAGGCTTCTGAACTGCAGGGAGCCAAAAATCAATGGTGGGTGGACTACACAGGGAATGGGGAAGGTTGCAGCTTCTTCCATATTGGGTTCATGTCACAATAGAAAAAAAAAAAAGTATGTAAAGATGTCCCCTTCCATCTACGCACAAAAGAAGGGACGATGGTCACAGCCTAGCTGAAACTGGCTTGTGACCCCTTATGGAGAACGCAGGGCCCAAGGAAACTGGATTAGGATAACTGACCTTTAGAAATTAAAAGGGAATAAAAGAGCACTCTGATCCAATCTGAGGCTGGTATTTAATTTTCATGGCAGCTAAATGGCTAAGTCTTCTAGTAGGTTTAGAAAACCTCAGCAGAAGTCTATTACTTTAGCAGACTGTTTTCATATGAAATCTCCTCAGTTTGATCCCGGTATTCTGCTTATAATTCTCTATTCCTTACAACTCAATCGGCCAGTCTCTCAGCCTTTAGCTTGTAACCAGTCAGTCTGGTATTGAAATACGAGTGTTCGGCAACAAACCCTAAGAAATGAAAACCACTGCAAGTCCATCCATCCTAGCATGCCGATGTCTTCCCTTCAAGAATGGCTAGGCTAGCGGAGTAAAGCTCATAGGCACTCAGACACTACCGAGATGGGCAACTCTAGGAAACCCTCGGGGTTTCCATAGACATGCGACTACACTATTCAGAAGCATCCTGCAAAAAAGAACTCTACCAGGTAAATGAATATTTTACTTAAAACTATGGTTCAGAAGTGAATCCCTTAATAAAAATATATATATATATATATCAATATTTACAGTCTTTGAGGCTTCTTTTTTTTGGCTGCACTCAGAAAGGAAAACTTCCACCCACTGTAAGAAGTCAATGCCCTTTCTCCCCTACAAATCTGGATCATTAGTGACCATTCCTTGAAGATCACTGTAGGTCATTTCATCATAGTACTTTGGGTCTTCAAATGCTTTCTCCGAGATGTAACCTGAAATGCATTCAGCAACTGCTAGGTACACAAACAGTTAATGCCTCATCGACTGCAGCAGGAGCCGAGTTCTGGCCGTGCCCGGTGTAGCTGAGCTTCTACTGAGTTGGAGGAACAGCTACTTTTTACATTCAGCTTGGCCCCATCTCCCTTTCACTCCTATTACCCACTGGTTACAACAGAGACTGAGGCTCCTGGTACTGCAAAGTCCCTGCCCTGAAAGCTTGTAGCAGAAACAAGAAAGGCCGAGGAAGAGTCATCCCAGGTTGAGAGACCAGAAGTGGAGATAAGAACATGAAAGGCCATTTAGGCCCCTGAGGTTGCAGAGCACCCAGTTGACTTGGGACCACATTGATCAAAGTTTTCATTAAAAGTGCAGGGAAGTTCCCAGTGGGGTTTACAAGAGCACGAAGGGGCCTGTCCTGGGTCACACCGAGAAGCTCTGATAAAACTGGGAAGTAAACCTGCATCTTCCAGGCTCTAGTTCAGTTCCTTAGCCATGGGGCCAGCCTCTCGCTCCAACCCAGGTTAAGCCGCTATGTACTCCTAATGCTATCTGTTCAAGACTCGGCATTTACTCCAATAGATACATTCCTTCCAGATGTCACTGTGCATCCATGAACTCAGCGGGAACTCGATAGTTAGCAGAACAATTAATTAAACCCATTAATTGTCCTCTGTGTTTTGCTTCACCACGTTTGGAAAGAAGAGGCTCTTTTTAGAAGTGAAAAGGGTTGATCCATTTTGGTATGTCTCTCTCAGGATGAGGTTAAATGGAAACATTAGTGCTGTGCATGCAGACTCATCAAGGGCTCAGGTTTTTTTCTCAGGCTAGCTGGCGGTATTGTCCATTCGGCACAGGGAGCTCTTGCCACCCAGAGCAGCTGGACAGAAGGAGGAAGGTTTAGCCATAGGATTTCCAGTCTTGGGAGCTGCTGACTGGCTGGTCAGATGACGGAGATGCAGCCGGCCAAGGGTTATCAGAGCTGGTTTCGATGGTGGGGAGAGGGTAGGAAGCATCCTGTGGAACTGAGATGTAGAAAGCAGGGAAAGGCAGGAAACAAGAAAACTTTCCAAATCATTTCCTCAAGGATGGGCACTGTACAGCTTGCCTGCATTATGTTCCTTGCCACTTGTCAGGCAGCAGCAGTTTCTTCATTCACTTGATGTGAAAACACCGTCCGCCCAGCTTATTCCAAACTAACCCACTTGTGATCCTTTTTGGAGGATTTTTGCTGACCTTTAGGAGGCCTCATTCAAATGCCACTAAATTGTTGTCACCCTTGGCAAGCCTTTTAGCTTAACCAATTTCTCCAGAGGCAAGAGAGCCCTGTATTATCCCCAAGTCACTCAGCCCAGCTGTCTGAACACCAGTTTCATGAAGCACTGAGATCCATTAATGTGTCATCAAAAGAGAAAAGAAAAATCAATTCTGAGCAGACAGTTCACACAACACCTCTAAATACTATAGGGCAGTTTAACAGAAGACTGCTAAGAAGTAGTTCTTCCTTAAATGCTTTAATTTTGGTTTTCTTGCTCCCTCCACTGTTTTTACTGTTTTCCCTCCTCCAAGCATGGTACTTACAATCTGGCGTTGGGGGGGGATGGAGGGGGAAATCACGTTATTGTATCCGTCTCAATCGTCACTAATGCCCTGATTCAAGAAAGCACTTTCTTTAGATACAAGTCCTATTGACTTCAATGAGTATTAATAATAAGCCTAAAGCTAAACATAGGCTCAAATGCAGACCTGAATATGGCCCTCGTTCAGAAAAGCACTCTTGGTTTCAGTGTAATCTTTTTATTGCTGTTATTATTGTCCTGAATTAGAAGAAAAGGGTCAGAAAGATCAAATTCTTTAGGATACAGAACTTGGGGGGCCTCATGGAGCCACACAAAGCACCGAGACCTGAGCTGCACGGGCCGACAGGAACAGAGGAAGACGGTCCAAGCCTTTTTGGCTTCTGACAAAACTTTTGGCAGCATGGGGTACGGCCCTTTACTGACTCTTTGGCTGCAGGATTTTCTGATGGAAAACCATTTCCAACCAGCTATTTTTTTGCAACGAGCCCACCATTTTTCACAGAGCCCCCCACCGAATCGTGCAACCATGAATTCAGTCGGTCCCTAATTATAGTACTCTTTGTCATATAGATATGTTTTCTCGTAAAAAACACCCTGCAAATTAAATTCCTGGTTTTACCCTTTTTGCCCATTTTTAAAGCAGCCAACTGACATGAATCCATCTTTTCTTAATGGAAAAAAGTGCTTTTCACCCTCTACACTTATAAATATCAATTTTCAGCCCTTAATGTTCCTGGTAGGGTTAATATCATCCACCGGCTCTTTTTTGGATACAAATGGGGAAGCCTGGCCACAGAGAACAAAGGATTTCCTCAGGGTGTGGGAAGAGATGACAAAACTGGAACCCAGATCTCCTTATCTCCCCCCTGTGCTCTAGCTACGAGACCACCCTTCTCTTTTACCAAAGACCAAGTGCATCTTACTCAGGAGGCTGGAGAGATGACTGGGACACACCTGGGATGACTTAATGAAGGACGATTCTGCCTTAAGCAGGGGTCTGGACTAGAGGACTTCATGAGGTCCCTCCCAGCCCTACTTTCCTATGGTCCAGTGACCTTTGCCTGGCTCAAGAGCATAGCAAACAAACCAGAACAGTTTTGATGACCTGCAGGCCATGGTGGCAGAGCAGGGACTGGAAATTAAGATGCTCTCCTTTCCCTGCTTTGTACTTAGATGATGCTTGTTTCTTCGTAAGAGCATAATCAGTTTCTGTATAACTTTCACCAACTTTGGTGTATACCTTAATATTTAGAGGGGTGTCATACACAGGAATTGCTGATTCATACTGACTTTTCCGAGAGACAGCGAGCGTGAGCGTGCGACGGATCAAATTACCTGTCTCAAAATGAATGCCACCACATCAGTTGATTCCCAGTAGCTGGCATGGAAGAGATGGGGCAAAGCCACTGTTGGAAATGCCGTTAGCACATCTGGGCAGTACAAGGCATAATCTATTCGCTTGGCTCCCCACCATTTGGCAGTAACTGTAAAATGACAAACAGGCACCACATTTCTAATGGAAACCTTGTTCAGGGCTAATAATTACAGAGTGGTTCCCAAACCCTGGACTGAGGACCGTGAGTAGTCTGCAAGGCCACGGTAAATGGTCTGCAGCTGATCTGCACTTCACCCTGCCACTCCTTACCCTTCTTTAATTCATGGGTTAACAAACCTGAATGGCGGCCAGGAGAAGTTTTGAGGACTGATGACTGCTTCTTGATCCAGAAAAAGTTTGGGAACCAGAACATTTAATAACAATCAATTCGATCCACGGAAGCCCAACAGACCAATATAATAATCCAGGATATGTGCTGATGACTTGATAACCATCTATGACATATTACTGGATATATTCATAAAGTGTATGCCCCCAAATAAGACACACACCTTGGTCTGGGAAGGTAGCATGAACCGGGGGCGGGATCTTCCCTGCCATGGCACTGGCTCAGCCAGGGCTCAGCCCTCCAGTTGCACACAGCAGGGGCAAAGTCCTGCCATCAGTGCCACTCTGCCTGACCCTACTGCTGGCCTAACAGCTACTGCCAATTCAGAAGTAGCTGTGAGAAGTTAAACTGGTTGCTGTAGCAGGAGGAGGGGGAATAATGCTGACAATGGGACTCCTCTACTGCTCTATATGGCAGGAGGGTTCAGCCCTGCTTGGTGTGGAAATCACTTTTCTTGCTTAAAATGCTCACACTAATTTTGGATAGGTAATTTTCAGGGAAAAAAGGTTGCATGGTATGCGAATAATCACAATATTCACCTTTGCAATGTGCTTAGAATATCTCTTCATCATGTATTATCTACTTATAAATGATCACAAGTGCTATTATGCTTTTAATACAAACCGTCACCCTAATTTCATTGCCTTACCTGAGCAAAACAAGAAAAAAAAAAATTAAATGCATGGAAAAAGTTAAGTTTGACTACTTAAAATGATCACAACATGGGCTTTTCATAGTATTACTAGTGCGCTGGGCAAGAAAATACTTCCTCTTCAGAATAAAATTCCAACAGCCCTGACATGGGGGGAGGACTGAAGTCAGCGCAGAAATAAAGGGTGCCAAGTCTCACTCACTGTTGGTGATGTTTGCCGACGGCAAGCTCTCCGTTGACCCTGAGATTTCGCTGTTTGTGCTGACCAGGCTGGACCTTCTTGCCTTTCCTTGGGACTGACTCAGTGTGTTTGGTGACTCTGGGCTCTCTGGAGAGGAGGGCAAGTTTGAAGAGCTGGTCTCAAGAAACAGAGTGCTGTGGTTCTGGATGGTGTCAGCTGGATGTTTTATTAAAAAAAAAAAAAAATCACAATAAGAGATCAGTATTATTTTCAAAAGGGTTTCAAAGCCAATGGGTTTTTGCCTGAATAAGGACTGATTTCTGGTGCACTTTGCTCCTTGGGAGATGGCCTGCACAAGGCAAGAAACCTACCTCCAGGAGGGTAATTCCATTGAAATTCAACAGCAATTGGGGTCCTTATGCCAAGATTTTCCAAAGTGAAGTAGGAGCCGGACAGGCAAAACTCCTGGCCCACGTTAAGGGGCCCAGTTGTTAGAAGGTGGATGTTCAGGCTCCCTTAAAATCATTATTTAGGTTTTAAAATCTTGACTTAACTCCTCAAGTCCCTGTTGAAAATCTGTATCTAATTTCTTAAGGCATACATGAGACTTGAGTGCTGAAGAGACTTCTGCAATATACTGACCATCACACTCAGTAGAATAAAGCCCATAAATACTTAGCTTAAGTGCTGCACACATCATTTAGATAAAATGCTATGCCATTCTCTGTAGCCTATGACAGATAATATACTCATGCTCAGTTCTGGGGGGGTTTTAACCCATACTACCATAGGATGTTCATCTCCCATCTGAGTTTTAAAGTTGATTAAATCACAAGACTTTTCCAACAGAATAAAAAACAGCCCTAGTTATTAAATTAATGGTCATGAAAGATTGATGCCAGCATCCTTCTTTAGACTGCATTTTCTGACGAATCTCAGAGACTCAGTGATTTATTGCATTAACACCCAGGATGCTCCCCCAAACACTTCTGGCTCTTCTATGAAAAATTAATCACTGCAACTAAAAGGAAGCCATACGGAAGTAAGCAGGCTGAAGGAATATTCTCTGCATGTAAGGCCATGAACCAGCAGGTTTTTTGCTAACCTATTCTGACTGGCTAGTGGATACAGTTACATTTGCAACCTACCTGCTACTAGTAAAAGGCCTTTACACAGCAGCAGAATTGCTACCTTAAGAAAAGCCATATTTCTTTCAATATAAGATATTCTGTTTTAGTTGCTGTGCTTAATAGTAGCACAGCACATAATTCCAGATGTGGAGATTTAAAAAAAAAAAAAAAAGAAGGAAGAA